TTGTTGACGTGTCACCTCCTGCTGCTGCTCCTGCTCAGGGAGCTGGGGCTGTGCACCGTGCAGCAGTGCCTGCTGTGCAGGAGCCTGGTGCCCATGATGTTCCCCTGCTTGGGAGCTTCTGACAGTGGGAGATCACCTCTGGAACTGTCACATCAGCTGTTACATGCTCCTCATGCAGACAGCGCCATTTAAACCCAAATAAGGGCTGTCACATCAGAAGATGACAGGCAAATTAGTGGAAGATGTTTGAAGTTCTCTATGGAGCTTGTGCTGTTTCAGAGGGGGTAAAAGAGCTGAAGCTCAGTAGTGGCCCCATAGACCAGTACTTCCCATATTATACAGTGGCTGGGTGGGCTGAATGCTGTTTTATGTCACTCGACTGCAGCATGGTGATGAATGTTAGCCTTCCAGTTATTTCAAGAGCTATTTTGCAGTGGGATGCAGTGAAAGAAAGCATCCTCCACCAGCCCATCTCCAGGCCCTCGTCCTCCACTTTCGTGTTCCGCTCCCATAGCGATCATGGGCTGAGCTGGGCGCTCCCTGACAGGGGGGTTCCTGGGGGACAGCAAACCCTGCAGTCTGGCTGCAGCCCCAGGGATCCCTGTGCAGCAGGAGGAGGGTTTCTCTGGGCTGTATGCTGCCGTGCTGCTCTGTGAGCAGCTGTCACACGGGGTCTTTGGCAGTGTGAACACGTGTGGATTCGTGTTCCCAAACCATGGGTAGCATTTAAGCACAGGGTGCAGTCTTCTCCTGCAGACAAGTCACCTAAGGCTGCTTGCAGGGCTGCTTAGCAGCCTTATTTTAAAGAGATCTTGGCCAAAACATCACAAAAGGATCACAGGGCTGCTGTAGGCTGCCTGTGGGAGCAGTGGGGTGAGGAGGAGCCCAGCAGGAGCTCTGTGCAGCAGGGGCAGCTCGCACAGAGGATACCTTGTCGCTAGTCTTCCCCAAGGCTTCTCCCAGGATCCTTTGACGTTGCTCAGCTCCATCCCAGTGTCACATTTCTAACAGTGACGCCGTATTAAAGTAAAAATAAAGAAGCCAACCCCTTTGCAAGTGACGAGTGAGTTCAGTTTTCTGCTGGGCAGGCAGTGCAGGAGCTCCTGACTCACAGGAGTGGGTGTTCAGGTGGGGAGGGGGAAGAGAAAACCTCATTAAATCTTAGTTGAGAGGAAGAAGGGGCTCTGCAGACGTGCCATTATTCTTAAAGGGCTCTTTAAAGATTTATGCAGCTCTGCAGAGCCTTAAAACAGGACGTGCCCCTGGTTCAATCGGTGTTAAACATCTCAGCAGAGGGGAGAGCAGCACGTGCCTCCCTGCAGAGCTGCTTGCCAGGGCTGGGAGCATCTCGCTGCTGGGTTTGCGTTCAGGTGCTCTGCTTTGCTCTGCTTTGCTCTGCTTTGCTCTGCTTTGCTCTGCTTTGCTCTGCTTTGCTCTGCTCCCCCCATGGCAGCCGTGTGGGGGTCAGAGCTTTGTGTCCCCTCCCACAGCAGTGGCTCTGAGGCTGCAAAACAAACCCTGGTGTCGGAGAGCTGCGTTTCTCACTGCGTGCGGCTGACAGACGCCGTGATTCAAAAGATCTCCACGGTTGTGTTTTTTTTTGGGAACCTTTCCTGTGCCTGAATGAACGGGATGGAGCCATTAAGAGCCGTGAGAGGCAGCAGGGATGCGCGTGCTCACCGCCTCTCCGCCCTCCCCTCTCTTATTTTTAGCCCTGGGCTGATGATGGTCGGTAGGATGTGGCTGCTCGCGCACGCAGCGCTGGCCACGGCTTCCGCGGGGGCTGGCAGTTGCCAAGATTTCATCCTATGCTGAATTGTTATTTTCATTAATTTGAACGTCAGCAACTGTCAGCGGTGAAGGAGGTAAAATTAGCCTGCAGCTCGTCCTCCCTCCTCAGCATCCATAACGGCCCCCTGGGATTGTTCTTTTCGCTGGGAGGAGGGCAGAGGCGCACAAAAGAGAAATGAGCTGTTGGGGTATTTTTCCCCCCCCAGTCAGAAATGTTCATTGCTTTGGTCAGAGCAGCCCGGCCAAGGGAGGGGAAGAATAAGTGCTCAGCTGTGCTCTGAGGGTGGGTGCTGAGGTCTCTGCTGTGGCACCCAGCCTCCAGCTGGCACTGTGGGGCTGTGCCAGCACTGCTGCTTGTGGGTGCTGGGCTGAGCCTTTGGATCCCTGCATCTTTTTTGGGGTTGAGGTAAGTGCTGAACGTGACTCTGAACCAAGAGACCAGACACGAGGTCCTTTCATGTTTGTGAATGACTTCCAGCCATGGAGGAGGAGGAGGACGTGCTGTGGGTGCACACAGCATGCAGGGAGGACCCCCAACCCGTCCCAGTGCCCCCTCTGCCCCGTGGGGTGAGAGCTGGTGCGTGGTGCTGATGCTGCGCTCGGCCTTGGAGGAGAAAGGATGGAGCATCCTCTAAAGAAAATGATACATAATCATCTTACAGCTCTCGCTTCCACTCAAACCTCTGAGTCATAACTGAAGGGCCCTGGAGCGTGACGTTCCTGGTGGAAGGAAATTGCCGTGGCTGGATGTGGTGTGGGGGAGCAGGGGGACCTGAGGAGCCCTTCCTTCAGCCCCGCGGAGCTGCAGTGCAGTGGGAGCGCAGCGGTGCCCCTCCTGCCCTGGTCAGAGACCCCTCCCCCCCTCCCCAGAGTCACTCCCCAGGTACAGGGATGTGACTGGAGCCCGCATCGGCTGCGCAGCACTGGGACGCCTCTCTTGGGGGCTCTGTGCCCCCGGTGCTGAGTCACTGCACTGAGCTGGGAGGATGGAGAGGGCTGCTCTGGGGCCGGCGGAGCAAACCGACCCCATCCATTGCAGGGCACACAGCTGTGCCCCGGTCCCTGCAGCGCGATAACGCCCTTCTTCGGCTGGAGCAGCGCGAAACTGTTCACCCTTTGCCTTCAGTTTCCTTCTCCTCTCTTCCGAGTGTCGGAGAGCACAGGCGCTCCAGCGGCGGGCGCTGCCACGGCCTCACGCTGCGTTCCCTTGCAGGACAGGTGCCTGAGGAGGAGGCGGGGCAGAACGGGCAGAGCCGCGGCCGGGGGCTGCCCAAGGCCGTCTGCATGAACGGGACGGAGCCGGGGCAGCTGAGCACCAAATCCAAGGCGGAGCGTCGGGCCAGCGCCTCCTCCAACCCCTCGCGCAAGGCCTGCTCTGCCAGCAGCAAGATCCGCAAGCTCTCCACGTGCAAGCAGCAGTGAGCCGGGAGCGCCGCGCTCTGCACAGGTACGGCTCGGGGCCGGGGGCTCGGGGGGCGAAGCCCCTGCGTGCTGCCAGCATCTCTGCTTGGTGCTCTGCAGTGTGGGGGGGTGCAGACCCCCCTCCCCCCGTGCCAATGGGGGGCCTGCAGTGCTCCTGCACGTGGCTCTGCTCTGTTCTCATCCTCCCCCCCCCCCGTGCTGCTGTCGGACCCCCTTCCCCTGTGCCCCGTTGTGGCTGTGCCGAGGCACCCCCTCCCCTGGCACCGGGACCCCCATTCTCCACCTCTCTGCTCCCAGCGTTGCCACCCTCCTGCAGGCAGGGAGCAAAGCTGTGGTGCGTGGAGGCTGCAGCAGAGCACTGGGCCTCTCCAGGGGAGGCTGCGGGGGTCTCCCTTGCTCCAGGGGTCTCCCCTGCTTCTGGGGCAGCTGCAGGACTGCGGTGGCCTCAGCTGTGCCCAGACCCCCCCATACATTTTTCTCTGATGCTCAGGGATGCTGAGCTCCCTCCACTCCCCCCTCGTTCTTCCGGCTCCCTCCTCAGCTCCATCCCTTCCTTCCCACCCCTCATTCATAAATGAGGCAGCGATGAGTCAATGCTCAGTGCTCATCCACCCCCGGCCTCACGCTCGCTCTCGTCACCGTCGCTCCGTGGGGCTGAGGCTGTGTTATCTGTTTGGATCACGACCAGCTTTGTGGTGTGAAAAAAAGCCAGAAATAAAAGCCCATTCCTCCCCCCTGCAGCTGTCAGACCCGCACTCGGCTTTAATCTTTAATTCATGGATAGGAGTGAGTCACCTGTGTGGGGAGGCACTGCGCTGCCAGCCGATGGATGCCTCTGCTCAGGGCTCCCCGGGGAGCTGCTGCTCTGCTGCCCCACAGCTGCTGGCTGCCCCACAGCTGCTCACTGCCCTTGGCTCGGGGCTCAGCCCTCTGCTTGTTGGGGTCCCAGCGTGGCCGAGGCCCCTGTTTATATGTGGCTGCCAGGCCGGAGGCTGCCTGCTTCCAACCTCCGAGAGCAGAAAGCAGCTGTGGCTCCTGGCTTTGAAGGAGCTCCGCGGGCTGCGTTTTCCCTTCGGGTTCGGCAGGCCGTGCCGGGCCATCCTGACTCCTCTCTTCCATTCTCCTGCAGTGTCCCAGCGTCCTCCCCCCGCTCAGCGTCTCCTGGGGGCAGCCTGTGCTCACCGAGGACCCCCACCAAGGAACCCTCCCTGCCCCCCCCCCCCACCCCTCGGCCCCTCGCTATGGACAGTGCCCGGAGCCCAGCGCTGCGGGGAGCCCCCACAGCCCACCTGGGATGGAGGACCCCGACCTGGGGGGGGGGAATCCGCCTTCCTTCCTCCCCGTCACTCTTTGCCAATCAAGACACTGATTCTCTTTTTAATTTCACGATGGAAGGGTGGGATGAGCGGGGCTGGGGGGTTTTCCCCCCCCCCCTCGCCCTGGCTGCGTAGAAGTCGTGCAAAGCCATTGCCGTGCACTTTATGTTTTAGACTACTGTTATATATTATATATTTTCCTCTCTTTTTTGTTTTGTTTTGTTTATATTTGCGGTATATTTAGAGATTCCTACACATCGTGATGTGTTTAAAATAAACCAGATGAGGAAAACAACAACAACAACAAAACCAACAAAAACCAACCCAGGTATTACAACAAAGCAAAACTCTATTAAACCTGCATGCTGTAAAGGGCTCGGAAAAGGGAATTGGGTGCATTCAGCGTCTCTTTTTTTTTTGGGTTTTTTTTTTTCCTTTTTTTTTTTTAAGAAAAAAAAAAAATAAAGTGAAAAGCGAGAGGTGGGGCTCCTGTCCTTCCTCTGCACCTTGGGGGAGAGGGGGCTCCTGTCCTTCCTCTGCAGTTGGGGGATGAGGGGGGGAGGGAATGGAACGGTGGGATCGGCAGGGTGAGAACGGCGCTCACAGCACTCACAGCCTTTGGTTTTGGTTCGGTTGGTTTTTCTTTTCCTTCATTGATAGATTTAAAAACGCGGAGTTGGAGGTGGTGCTTCGGGCAGAGGCTCTGCGGAGGGGGAAGGCGCGGCCCGACCTCTGCGCTCGCATGCAATGGGGGGCACCGCTGCCCCCCTCCCCGCCCCCCGTGGGCCGATGTGGGGCCGTTCGGTCCTTTTTATTTGCCCCCCCGTCCTTGGGAACGCAAATAGCCCCGCAAAACCCCATCCCGCCATACAAAGCCGACCCGCCGTGCGAACCGAAGCATCGCCTTCCTCGATGGGAGGAGGAGGGCGAGGAGTGGGAGGGAAGGAGGGCGCGGCCCCCACCCCACGGCCGCTCTGCCCCCCGGGGCCGCCCCCCGCTTTTCCATGCCGGTTCCCGGCGCCGGGCGCAGCGCCGTTATTGCTCGTAGGAACCACCGCGGCTGCGGAACGGTCCCCTCCGCGCCGCCCCCCGCCCTGCCGGCTCGACGCCGCCCCGCGCTGAGGCTCGGCTCAGCCCCCCGCACAACGCGCGGACCCGCACCGCGTGCGCCCTACGCGGGGCTGCGCTCGGGGGGGGCATCGCCGGCAGTTACGGCCACCGCGCTCTCCGTGTCCGCCCGCAGCCCCTCCGCCTCCCTCCGCAGATGCCCGTACAGCCGCTCCTCGATGCCTCCCGCTATCTTGTCCAGCAGCTCCGCGTCGGGACGCGGCTCCACGCACCGCCCCGGTCCGAGGCATTCCTCCCCGCCTCCGCGCTCGGGCCCGGTCCGGTGCTCCTCTCCGGGCTCCTCCACGATCACCTGAATCTCGGGTTCGGGCAGCGGAGCGGCGCCGGATTCCGCCTCGGCCGCCTCTTCGTCCCCGGCGCTGACGATGCGGGGCAGCGGCCCGTGGAATCGGGCGTCCAGCGGGGAGTTGGCGCTGTCCCCGCGACGCAGAGGGGTGCGGTGCCGTTCCAACGCGGGGTACCGAACCCCCGGGTCGCTGTACTGCTTGGCGTGCTGCCACTGCTTGCGGAGGTGCGTGCGGGAGCGATGTTTTCCGCGCGGCGGGGATTCGTCGAACTGCGGGTCGTGCCGCACGAAGGCGTTGAACAGCGCGTCCGTCTTCTCGTCGATGCTGTAATCCCTCCTGGGCGACGGCGCGTCCCGGCCCGCCAGCATCTGCCCGTAGGGTGACCAGGCCAGGGGGCTGTGGGTGCGCACCGGACCCCCCCCGCCCACCGCGCCGCGCCGCGCTTCCTCCTCCTCTTCCTCCTCGTCCTCCTCCTCCTCTTCCTCGTCGGGCTCGCGGCCCTCGAAGCTCTCGAAGATGGTGCCTTTCCGCCCGGCGCTGGTGAAGCAGATCCGTTTCTCCGACGCCGTTTGATCCGCGGGCGGCCCCTCCTCGCTCCCCCGGCCCGGCGCCTCGATGGAGGCGTAGCCGCTGTCCATCTGCAGCAGCTTGCGCGTGCCGGGTTCCGAATCCTCCGCCTTGGGCCGGGCCCAGAGCTTCTCCTCGGGGCCTTCGGCCTCGTCCAGGGAGGAGGAGGGGCAGGGAGCCGCGCCGCCCGACGAGACGCTGTCCGCGCCGTCGCTGCGCACCGAGTCCTGGTCGTTGCTGCGCTCCGACGCGGCGTACAGCTCCAGCGAGGCCCGAAGGCTCCAGATGTCGTGGCCGACGCTGCGCTGCTCCGGGGCCGCCGCCTCGCTGGGGCTGTCCTCGCCTGGCTCTAACCTGGGTTTGGGGGGGGGGGGGGCGGCGGGGTCACGGCGGGGACGGCTCCCATCGCTGTGATGTGGACCCCACCGCCCCGCCTGGCGCCCACACGAACCCATCGCCCCCAAAAAGTGGCTCCCCCCCCCCCCCCCTCACCATGCACGGGCCGCCCCCCCCCCTCCCAGTCCCCTCTATCTACTGAAAAATACCTGCCGAGAGAGGGAGGGGGGCTGCTGGGGGAGGGCAGGAAGGGGCCGCCCGCGGGGTGGAAGGCGACGTCGTCGGTGTGGGCGATGTATTGGATGATGTCGGTCTGGTGGGGGTCGCGATCCTCCTGGTCCATGCTCTCACTGGCTGCACGCTGCCGCTGGAACTGGCGGCGCTTGGGAGACCCTGCGGGGGTGCGAGGTGGGGGGGGGGGAATGGTCACATCCTTGCAGAGGGGTGCAGCCCCCCCACCCCCACCCACTCGGCTCCCCCCACCCCCACCTCTCGTGTCCAGGCTGGATGCCCGCTGGGTGCTCTCCAGTTTCCATTTCTTGATCCTGAAGTAGGGGCTGGCCCCATCCAGGCTGGCGTGCCGACGCAGGCGGGTGAAGAACTGCAGCACCGGGCCCTGCGTAGGGGCTGGGGGGGCATCCCCAGGGCTGGCACTGCCTGCAGTCGGCCCCTTCCCGCTCCGGGGCGCTGCGGTGAACTGAAGGTGTGGGGGAGTCGTGAGCGGTGGCTCAGCCCTGGGAGCAGCCGTGCACAACCCCGGCCCCACACTCACCGAAGGGCCCTCCCCAGAGTCGGAGGAGGTGGCGGGGCTCCCTCCCGCTGTGGAGTTGTAGGTGTCCCCGGGCAGTGCTGAGCTGGGGCACACGGTGTGGCCGGGCTGCGGCACGGCCCCTCCAGGGGGCTGCGGGCAGAACGCGTCAGGGGCTGCACAGAGCTCTGCGCCCACAGCCCCATCCCCATGCCGCCATTCAGCCCCCATCCAGGCGAAGCCCACCCCCCCCATGGTGCCCACCTGGAAGATGGCGAGGCCGGGTTTGGGAGGGGGCCGGCGGGGGGTCATGGCCAGGCTGTTCTCGCTGGACTCGCACTCATGGATGGTGACGATCTTAAGGGCAGGTGGTGGCAGGTGGAGGTGCGTCAGGCGGGCGTTCTTCAGGTGGTGGAAATCCCCCTCTGTCAGCGTGTACCTGGGGGGCACAACGAGTCACGGGGCGGCCCCACAACCTACAGCTTCTCCCCCGCCCGGGCCCCCAGCCCTCACCTCCGCCCCTTCTCCTGGGTCTTCTTGCCCTGCTCATACAGCGCGGCCTCGTTGAAGGAGACGCGGCGTGCGCTGGAGGAGCTGGAGGACAGGAACCGCTCGCTCTCTGCATCGCGGTAACTGGAGGCCGACAGGCACTCGGGGTCCTCCACTCTGATAGTGATATCTATGGAGAGGAAAGGGAGGGCTCAGCCAACAGCCCCCCCATGGCGGCACAGCTGAGCTGCATGAACTCACTGCACCGCTGCGTGCCGGCGGCTGGGACTCACAGTGAATAGGGGACAGCCCAGGACCCGCTTTGCCACCCCCCTGGAAGCAGCATCACAGGTGGGGGCACTGATCCCCACTGCTCACCCTGGGCCTGCTGCGAGTCATCCAGGTACGTCGTGGTGGTTTTCTCAGGGTCATCGCTGGCTCTGCGGAGGGACCGGCGGTCAGAGCTGCCCCGTGCCAGAACGAACCATAGCAGCACCACAATGGGTGCCGCGGCCACGAGGTGCCACCGGCCTTGGGGACACAACGTGGCCCGTCCCACCCACCTGGAGTGGCGGCGGTCGGCCTCGCAGCAGCGGCGACAGATGATCAGGATCCCTGAGAGCAGCACCAGAGTTCCCCCGATGAAGATGGAGAGCAGGGCGAGCAGCAGCACGTAGCCATCCTGGGGGGACACCTCGCCGGGCAGCGCCTGCGCAGGGCAGGGAGGGGTGAGATGCTGTGCGGGGGGGACACGTACTTTTTTCTGGGGAGGGGGGGGGGGGGAAGGGGGGCTCCTCCAGAGGCTGCTGCCGTGCTGCTCCCCCGAGATGTGCGCTCCCCCGCCGCCCCCGGGCCTGCTGCTGCCTTCACCACGGCAACCGCAGCCTGGGGAGGGGGAGGGGGGGGGCTGAGCAGCACACCCAGAAAGAACGGGGACGGGACCCCCGCGCTCAGCCCTACAGCTCTGCGTGTCCGCAGCGGCTGAGCGGGGCAGGGGAGGGGCCGCCAGCTGGGCGATGGCAGAGGGGAGGATGCTGCCGTGTCCATCCCGGTACCCGGCGCTACAGCCGCGTCCTGGGCTCCCACCCATCCCCAGGCTGCTCACCGTGCTGCTCTCCGTCGCGTTGTCCCACGGGGTCGGGTCATCGTTCATGGTCCGATCCAAGCCGGGTTCGTCCTGGGCCGGCGTGAGACAAAGGGGGAGCGGGGTGGGGCCGGGGGCGGTGGTACCGGGAGGGGGGGTCCTGCCCGGCCCTGCCCGGCCCGGCACCGCGGAGCTGAGGGAGGGACCGAGGGGAGGGCCGGGATAAGGGATGGAGGAGGGTGTGGTCGGGGCTGGAACGGGAGGGAGGGGCGGGGGTGGGGCCGGGGGGCGCTGGGTGCCCCGAGCGCTGTGACAGCGCCTGAGTCAGCGGGGCCGGATGGACAGAGAACGAGCGGGTGCCGGCCCTGCGGCGGTGCGGACCCCGCAGCCCTCGGAACGGCGCTGAGCCCCACCGGGGACCGCGTGTCCGCCGCCCCCGTCCGTGCGTTCCTCACCCGGGGGCTGCGCTGCGGACGGGGGAGGGAGGGGGGGGGGGGCGCGGCAAAGAGCCCGAAATGGGGTCAGAGAAAAATGTGAATGGAGCGGGGAGGGGTTGGCGGCAAAGGGGGGGGGGGGAGGAGGGAGCGATCCGGCCCCGATGGGCACCGGGGGGCGGGGAGAGCCCCGATCCCGCTCGGCCCCGGGCAGCCCCCAGCTGAGGGGGGGCACCTCGGGGGGGGGGGGGGGGGCACCGCGGGGACCCCCTGCCCAAGGCGAGAGGGGAACGCCGCCGCCGATCGCCGATGATGGAGGAATTCCGTCTCCATGGCGACCCGGCGGGAACAGCGCGGCCATTGTCTGTGCCCGGGGACGGTCCCTGAGCCGCCCTCGTGGTGCCCCCCCCACCCCCCCAAGCGGGGTCCGGGCCCGGCGGGCGGATCTGCCCGGGCAGCTGGCGGGGAGCGGGGGCTGCGGGGCAGGGAGGGAGCCGGGATGCGGGAAGCGATGAGGGAGGGATGCGCGCGGCGCCGGTGACAGCAGCCCCGGAGCCCCCGGCGCCTCCGAGCGCAGCAGTGCGAGGCGGGCTCCCGCCGGTCGAGCCGGCTCCGGCTGTCGCGATAGGCTCTGTCGCGATAGCGGCGGGAGCGAGGCACTCACCTACAGCCGGGGCCGGGGCTCCATCGCCGCCGCTGCGTTCGGTGCGGTTCGGGCGGCCCCGGGATTTATGAATGAACCGGAGCCGCCCCCGCGCGGTGCGGGCGTCACGTGGGGACGGGGCTGCCCCGAGCCCGCCTGCACCGGGGCCGCCCGCACCGGACCGGCCCGCACCCCGGCGCCGCCCGCACCCCGACCCCGCATGGCCGCGCCCCCCACCGGCCCTGCCCGTCCCGCAGCCCCGCGCTCACCCGGCCCCGAGCTCCGCGCCGCCCCCGCCCGCCCCGCAGCGCCGCCCCCACCCGCAGCCCGGGCCGGGCACGGAGCCGACCCTACAGTAAACACAGCGGGTAAACAACCGGGCGGGGCGCGAAACTACGGTTCCCAGGCTCCCTCGCGGCCGCGATGACGTCACTTCCGGCGCCGCGCGCTGCCCCTTGGGCCACGTAGTCCTTGGCGCAACGCACGCCGGGAGCTGTAGTCCCGCCGCCCGCCGTCCGCTCGCCCTTCGCCGCCGCCGCCCGCCATGATCCGCGCCCGCCAGCTCCTCCGCCTCGCGGCGCTGCCGCCGCCTCGCGCCCGCTCCTACGCCGATGCTGCGGCCGGGCCCGCGGCCATGGCCTTCACCTTCGCCTCCCCCACGCAGGTACGAGCCGTACGCCTTGTGGGACGGCACCGTGCGGCTCCGCTGCCACCGGCGTGGCCGCACCGAGGTCTCTCCGCGCCCTTCTCCCAGTCCGGTGTTCCGCTGTTCCCTTCCTACCCGAACCCCTCCGTGACCCCATGAGCCCCTCCGTGCTGTGACCTTCCATTCCCCCCCCCGCCCCCATTCAATGACCCCGTGCTGCTCGCGCCGCCCCGCGGCTGCTCATCTTCCTCCTCCCCATAGGTGTTCTACAACGGTGCCAACGTGAAGCAGGTGGACGTGCCCACCCTGACCGGCTCCTTCGGCATCCTGGCCTCCCACGTCCCCACGCTGCAGGTCCTGAAGCCAGGAGTGGTGACGGTGTACGGAGAGGACGGCACAGCCACCAAATACTTCGGTGCGAGGGGAGGGCGGAATGGGGAGGGCATCCCCGGGCCCCTCGGGTGGAGCTCAGCCATGGGGTGAGCTCTACTGCAGCTCTGCTGCCCTCCCTGCTGAGTGCTGGATTCCCTGTGGGAGAAGGGATGCGCCCTGGGGCTGTGTTTGAGGATGAGGTTTTGTACAGACGTTCCTCTGCTGCACCTTTGCTTTGTTTGATGCGAGGCTGAAGGATGCTGTGGTTCGTGTTATGGGTGAAGTTTGAGGGCTGGTTTTGTCTGAGGAGCCATCAGGCTCCCATGCTGACCCCCACAGCAGCGCCTGACCCGCTGCCATTCCTCACAGTGAGCAGCGGCTCCGTCACGGTCAATGCAGACTCCACGGTGCAGGTGCTGGCGGAGGAGGCGGTGACGATGGACATGCTGGATCTGGCTGTAAGTACTGCACAGCAGCTTGGGCCGGCCTGACAGCCAGGCTCCTGCATGGAGGGCTCTGTGCCCCACTCCTCTGTGTGGGGTTGCTGTCTCGGGGCCTTCCTGTGGCTGCACAGCATCTGCCTGGACCCGACTCCTCATCATCACCCACTGCTTGGGATCAAAGGCTGCTCCTCCCCGACAACTGCATAGAGAGGAAGCCCTGTGGTCACTTCCCCTTCCCCAGGCTCCATCCCTGCCCTTGGATAGATGTGGTCCTGCCCCTCCCCACCCTTCTTCACCCCCAGCAGCAGTATTCCCACAGCAGGGCCTGCCTGCAGCGGGGCAGCCCAGCATGTGAACACGCAGCCTGCGTGGGGCTGACTGCAGTGGAGGAGAGGGGGAGATTGAGGCCCCGTTTCCTGCTCTGCTCTCTCAGTGACCCGTTTCTTGTGCTCTCACGTTCAGACTGCAAAATCAAACCTGGAGAAGGCCGTTTCAGAGATGGCTGCAGCCTCCGACGAAGCTGCTAAAGCCGAAGCCCAGATTAAAGTGGAAGCCAACGAGGCTCTCGTCAAAGCTTTGGAGTAACAGGGGTAAGCATCCCCGCATCCCAACCGGCGAGCACAGGGCCGTCCCGGGGCCGCTAGGTGGCAGCCGCAGCTTTGGCAGCCCGGGGCCGGGCCAGGCACAGCCCACGGTCACGAGTGGGGCCCCGCTGGGACGGGCAGCCCGGGGCTGGCCATGGAGCAGGCTGCATTCCTGGGGCCCCGCAGGGAGCGGTGCGGCCTCTGCTCTGTGAACACTCCCTTCCACTGCAAACAAACAGCTTCTGTCTCGGGGGAGGTGAGGCGAGGCTGCTTACCTCGTGGCCCATTTTCTCTGTGCCCTGCTAAGACCGTGCCTCATCCCTTTTCTTCCCACGTGTTGGCAGTTGGGAGGCTCTCTGTGCAGCGCTGTGCTGTGCCTGGCAGGTGAGTCACTGCGGCTCAGCTGGCCTCTCCCTGGAGCAGGAGCGGCAGGGCAGCGCTCCTCTGCTATCTCCTGATCTCTGGTCTCGCCGCCCTTTGGCCCTTGAGGTCAGGTTTTGAGGGGGCACCCAGTGGTTCTCGTTTCCTCGCAGCGAGGCTGAGCCCTCAGATCAGGATCCACTGCTCTGCTGAGCCCACCCTGCATTCACACCGACTCCGCCTCTGTGTGTTGCAGGAATCCCACTGACGCTCTAGAAAAACCCCAGGCTGTCCTACTTGTTCTGGCTTCCCCGTTTGTACAGATGGTGTGGGACAAATGGAGGCGGAGAAACTGCTCTGATCAATTAAAAGGAAATGCAGTCCTGTCTTGTGGCGTGTCACCTTCTTCCGAGGCAGCACACACAGCTGGGAGTGGGGCAGGGTCTGCAGGGTGCAGCGTTACCTCCAGATCTGTTCTCGGGTGCTGCTGGGGGTTCCTGAGGGAGGTTCACCCCAGGCTCAGCAGGCAGATTTGATGGCTCTCTCCTCCCTGCCTCTAGTAATTCACCAGGATTGTGGCAGCACAGGAGGAGGAATCTGCAGGGCAGTGCAGGTCCATACTGGAGGCTTCCTGTCCCAGCTCCCCCCGCCCTCCCCCAGCTTTGCTCAGCCTCCAGACTCCATTGCTGCAGGAGCCACACCGGGCCTGTTGTTTCTGCACAGTCCTTCCTGCAGCTGGACAGCAGCTGCCCAGCTCTGACCCTTCTCCCTGCTGCTATGGGCTGTCACCACTTCCCCTGCGTGTGTGGCATGCAGAGCAGGGGGAAATCTCCCTCTGCTCCATGGAGACAGGCTCGGTGCGAGAGGGAAGCAGCTGCTGGGGGTGGTGGGAGCCTCTCTTCAGTCGGTGCGGTGCGGGGGGTGCTTGGTGGTGCTCCACCAAAGCTGCCCTCGCTTTGGGGCTGTGCTGGTGCCGGTGCCCCCTCACCAGGGCAGCCCCGGTGTCCCCTGTGCCGGGCAGGAGCTGCTTCCTGGCACAGCACGGCTCAGCGAAGGGCTCAATCCCCACCCCAGACGCCTAAGGACTCATTTTGCCAACGGCACCATCTGCTGTGAGGCTGTGAGCTCACTGCCGTCCTCCCCACACCTCCAGCGGGGATTTCAGGCTCCCTCTGCTGCACGGAGCATGGGGGGGGGGGGGGGGTCTGAGGGTCCGCTGTCCCCACGGCACACAGCAGCCCCCCCCACTCCCACCCCCTCATCCCTCCATGCCTGCAGCGCACACAGCAGCACTCGGTTATTTTCGGTGCTGCCACCCAGGATGTAATCTGTGCTGCCTCCTCACCGCCACCTCCTCCCCCTCCTCTCGCTCTCCCCCCCCCCCCCCCCCCGACAAGTGATCAAAAATAGTGCCTGCGGTGTTAAATTTCTCGCTCGGGAGCTTATTAAAAGCCTCCCAGTCCTGACGCTGAGCCTATTTGAGGATCAACCCGGTCCCATTTTCCGAGCCGCTCCCGCGCCTTTCTTTCCCCTTTCCCTCTTTTCTCCCTTTTCCTTTTTCTCCTGAAGGTCACACGTCGGCTCTGTGCGTGAGCGAAAGCCTCAAAGCCGGAATGAGCTCTCATTAAAACGTCTCGGGAATAACGGGGGCCGGGCGGCCGCGCTGCCCTCGGTGCCGGCTGCTATTTGCATTGCGCTCTGCCCTCCCTCGGCACACGCGGCCGTTTTCTTTCCGACGGAAGGTGGCTGCGTTTTGTCATCGGATGGAGGAGCGTTGGCGAGGCCGGGAAGCCGGGAACGGCCGGCTGCTATTTTTAGGATGGGAAAAAAAAGTGTCTCCGTCAGCATCCTCGCATCAGCTCTTCCCACTGCCTGCCGCCGGCTCCATTGGAACGGGGAAGGGGGGAGTGGGGGGGGGGGGGGGGGGGTCCTGGTGCTGCCTGCTGGGAGATGTAGTTGGGGGGGGGTTCAGCCCCACATCTGGGATGGTGGGGGGGGGGGCTGCGTCCCTCTGTGCCCGCTTGTTCTCCTGTGCAGGGGGGTTCAGCCCCGGTGCTGTGGGCAGGGGGCTCTGCCTGCCCTCCCCACCTCATCCTCCCTCCCCCGTTGCCCAACTTGATGCCAGGAGGGGCTGAGGCTGCAGGCAACACTGGGGGTCCTCTCCAGGCCCAGGACGGTGCTGCAACCCGTGGTTGGTGCTGCAGAACTGGGGATGTGTGCCCTACAGCGCGATCCCATGGGTGATCATCCCCACTTCTCTCCAGCACATCCTGCCATGGGGATGTGTGGTTCAGCTGCTCAGCGCAGCCCGCAGTGCCAGAATTCCGGCATCCCTGCAGCATCCATGTATGCAGGTGGGGCGAGAGCCCCTTCCCTGCTGTGTTGGGGGTGCAGGCATTGAGGCCCTGCAGCACTACAGGGTGCTGTGCTCCAAGGGAAGCTCGGCAGCAGCACGCCAAGGCCTGGGCACAGCCTGCCTCGGGTCCCCCCCCCTCCCCCCCCCCGGCCGGCAGCGATGCGTGCTGGAGGGATGGGCTGCCTGGAAAGCTGCGTGAGCGGGGCTGCGTCCTTCCTTTCCACCCAGTGCTTTTGCCTGTGACTTTACATCTCCTGCTGCCAGATGGAGGGTGGGGAGCGGAGCATCGCGTCCCTGCCGGCGCCTCTGCTCCTGGGGGAGCGCTTACCAGGAGGGGCTGGGCGCTGCCGTCAGGTCCCAGCATTGCCACCCCCCCCCCCCCCCCCATGCTCAGCTGTGCTGTGTTTCCACAGTCCCACCCGGATCCTGAATG